TGAGCAAGGACCTTGCCCCGGAGATCTCCCCAGGAAACTTGGAATCCAGAAAAACAAAGGATGTACTTCAGACACTGGCTGCCAACACAGGCTCAGCCTGTGGTGTTTGTGTGCTAGGGAACTGTAATGCCAATATACTTCCTGGCTCATTTGGAAATCACACCACTGGCCCTTTTGAAAATCAGAGGCAGTTCCACTATCACTTTCAGAGTAAAAGTATATTTTAAGAAAGGCATTTCAATCTCCCCTGCATGAAGATCATGCTGTTCGCATTAGAGAAAAATCACACTTCACCCAGTTTCCTAAACTTCTCCAACAAGCCAAAAACACCTTGTTAGTCATTAATTTTCTTTAGTTATACCTCAGCATAATATTTTTCTGAAAGAAACAGTCGTTCCCTGCACTTCTCAAAGCTAGTATTTCTATTATTACTGCCCTTGGAAATTCATTTGCATCACAGCAGGCTGGCATCTAATTAGCAAATATCCTTGCTATTACCAGAGCGGAAGAGGGCATGACACTAAACAAAACAAAAGCACAAACACAAACAAAAACAAACAAACAAACAAACAAAAAAAAACTAACCACCAAAATCCCCCTTCCTCCCTCCCCAAACAAACAAACAAACAAAAAACCAACAACTAAACACATAAAAAGAGAGCATCGAGTATGCCCCAGCCAATACAGACAGAGCCTCCCAGTGTGGCTACTGAGGACCTTACTGCTGGGTTCTCCAGAACTCATGTGACAAACTCTAAAAATATAAAGCTGTAGTAATATAAAATAATCCAGACTAATCACAGAGTCATAGAATTGTAGAATAGTTAGGGTTGGAAAGGACCTTAAGATCATTTAGGTCCAACCCCCCTGCCATGCGCAGGGACACGTCACACTAAACCATGTCACCCAAGGCCTCGTCCAACCTGGCCTTGAACACTGCCAGGGATGGAGCATTCATAGCCTCCTTGGCAACCTATTCCAGTGCCTCACCACCCTCACAGGAAAGAATTTCCTCCTTATATCGAATCTAAACTTCCCCTGTTTAAGTTTGAACCCATTACCCCTTGTCCTATCACTACAGTCCCTAATGAAGAGTCCATCCCCAGCATCCCTATATGCCCCCTTCAGATACATGTCGCCAAGCCAGCAGGTCAAAGAATTTGAATTTGAGATTCTCCATGTGCTTATATTCTTCCTGCTCTCACCTGGTAGTTATCGCTGTGTTGAGAACTGGCAGGGTTGTAACATGCTCTGAATTTTAACAATGATCCTGACTTTCTCACATGACCTCCAGCTCTCTCCAGGTGTCCTAGTGGGCCTGACTCCACTTGCTATGTGCTCCAGGACTTGGGTATCATGCTATCTTCGTACACTTCTCACTTGCCAACTGAAACTAGACAGTCACCAACCCAGCATTTTTTCTTACATCTACAATGACATAGGCCCCAGAAGTTGAATCTTAATCCACATTCATGAATGCTTATCCTGCTCCCTGTTCACCATTCAGCAAACTTGCTCTTTTGTCTTCTGTCATATGAATGCTTTCATTTGTAGCCCATGCACATTTTTACCAAATCTCCTGTCCTCATTCTGCATGTTATCTTGCCCTCTTGCTGGAATTTACTACGTAATAAGTCTGCTTTGCTACTCAGCAAGCTATGTGAAGGAGAAAACTTTCATCTGGCGATAACTATTTAATGGTACAGTTGTACCAATGTATTCTGCTGATGGTGTGTCCCCACCAACATGACCATTTGTTGTTATTTTTTAACCTCTTCATGATAAACTTATCAGGAATTCCAGCTTAAAAGCCAGGTCTTGTCAACATGGAGGCAACACTAATGTGCTTTTGTACTTATGGACCAATATGGATTATTTAAGTGTAAATAGTGAACAAACAATTAAGAAAATGACTACATAGCATTAATGAAGTGACAGCTGTATGAAGTCCAGATACACAAGGTATTCTCAATTCAACTTCTTGCCCAAGCTTTATACTATGGAGGTTGCCTGATTTTATCTCTAGCTTACCTAGCTGAAATCTAGTTCAGAAACCACTACACTGCACCGTAGCGAATTCTGTAACTGTAGAGTAAACACATCTTAAATCAGTCCTAAGTAGAGATTTTGAACAGAACATACCTTTGAACATGTGCATAAATTATAATGGGGTAATAGCTGCCTGAAGTAGTAATATTTGTTTGTTTGGTTTTATCAGCCTTATGAACTACGGCTGCAAACTTCACTAACTGTTGTACAAACCTTCATCAAACAAGCTGTCTTCTCAGCACCAGTGAGCAAACACTGGTCTTTGCTGGAAGAAGTGGTTAAATTAGATTGTAGAAAGACACAGGCACACAATAGCAGCAGTAGCACAAGGTATGTCACATTTTTATGCACTTTTTGATGAGTTTATTTTTGTTGTCACTTGCCTTATTTCTCTAAAAGGTGACCAGCAGGATACATAATAGTTCCAATATTTATAACACTCCCATCATTTGTGCTTCTTCAGTGGCTGATGATACATACACTTAGGTCTTAGCCTGCTCCTGTGCAGAAATTCACAAAACTCGCTGTTGCTGTCCCTTTATGGTCTTAAGTGACCATCTCACCCTTTCAGAAAATTTAACACATAACTGTGATGTTCCCATACATGTCCACTTTATTGGCCTCTGTGAATCAAGCAAAGCTGGCCACCCATATGTTCTACCTGGTGGAGATGCTCTTCCTTTAGTCAGAGTATCTGTGGCTGTGGGATAAGCTCAAAGCCAGGTGTTAGGACAGAAGTGACTACCCAAGTTTGATTAAGACAAACTGAAATAGTTGTGTGTAGCAGGTGTAGTACATGAAACAGAGTCTTTCTTGTAAGACTCACAACATCATCTGAAAACTCAACTACTGCATAATCCTGTTTATTGGTTTATGGTATACCAGGAAGCAAATAAAGTGGCCAGGTGGATTTTACAGAATCCATAGCAAGAGCCTTGGGTTATGGCAAATGGCCAGCTGAATTACTTGTACCTGCTGTCTGTAAAGGGACCATATTACAGTTGAGACTAAATGGTCTTTTAAACCTGTATCAAAAACAGTTCCATTGCATCTTCATTAGAGGTACTTACAGTATCAAGGAGAGTATGACAGTCAAAATGCAATAGTTGGAAAAGGTCCAGGTGCAGAAAATGACTTTCTTCCTATGCACAATTGATCAGAATGTACAACCACAAATGTTTCAGATATGTTTAGATCAAACTGTATTATTAATGAAACAAAAGCCTAGGAGGCTTGAATCTTAGAATAAAAATATTCAAGTCTCTACAATGGTGTGACACATTGGGGTAGTAGTTGTTACTCACTGCAGGGATGGCACTGCCAGTACTACATTGTTATCTTGGATATGCACTATAAGACTAGTGTTACAGGAACAATGTCTCAGAGGTTTTCCTGCCCTTTTTTTCTGGTTGATCTGCTCAAATAGATATGCAAAGACCTAAGCATGCATTACTCTAGAGTTGAGACCACAAGCCAAAAGGCTGAAGATTGTGGAAACAACATGAGCTTAATCTATTAATAGCAGCCTGAGCAATTTACCAAAAAATCGTCCCTTCACTCATGTCAAATCTGTTTAAAATACTAATATAACAATCATAACATTTTATGTATACATGTGACCTGAAGTCATTGAACAAATTTCCAAACAGCAAACCACAGTCTTTCTTACTAACTGATACAAGTGTAAAGGGAAAGGAAGTGAATTTACAGAATTATCATCAAAATTTAGAAACAGCACTCATTCTATTTTTTTTTTCTTTTATTTATCACTATCATTAGAGTTACTGTAAATTGTGCGAATTTGGGCATATAATGGGTTTTTTTTTCACAGCTTTGCTATGAAAAAGATTGCTTACTCTGGTCAGATTCTGATACTCTGAATTGCAATTCTCTTTTCAAGTAACCAGACTGAATTCATCATACCTGCATACAACAGACCACTTTGCTCCCAGGCATGGAAAGCGATATTCATTCCACTTTTATCAGTTTTCAGACTGCTGCTGCGGCACCAAAGTCTTAGGAAATCATTAATGAAAATTAAAATCTGCTCCACGGGGCTGCTTGCAAAGATTCTGCTCAGCACAAGAACAGATGTCATGGTTTGGTTCTTAGAGTCTAAAAAATCACAGTGGCTGTAAAGCAATGACGTTTCTGTAGCAAGAATTCCATGCTGATTTTGTTATACGCAGTTTTCCATGGTGGTTAAGTAAATAAAAGGTTTACTTTGCATATGATCATTAGAAATTGTAAATCTTAGATCATAAAAACAACCCCTAATAAATACAGTTTTGCACTAGCCAAGGAGTGCAGAAAATAGCATCTCATTAGCTGTAAATCTTGGCAGAAAAGGGAAACAGAGCCTAGGAGTCCTAGCAACAGCTTCTGTGCACCAGCCATTAGATCATACTGAACAGAACAACAGGTCTAAAATTTAGTTGTATGAATGCCCATTTAAACATTTTGATATTATACGATCATTTAAGTACTCTGATGGTTATAGGCTTATGCTAGCCTTTAAAAGATTAAAGGCTGTACTTTAGACTAATGAATTCCACTTATTTTTATTTTTGAAAACTTTATTAATGTGTTTTAAGAGGTGATATTCTCCTATTCATACTCCCATTGCTTCCATGTTTGGCATGGTTTTGGTATGATATATGCTAACTAGGCACAACAAACATTTTGATATGCGACTGAAAACAAGATCCAGGCTAGGTCTATGAAATTCTCTGCATACCTCAGCTTAGACACCTGCAAGTGCATAAAGGCAGCCTTGTCTGAGTCATTAGGTTGCCTCACTCCTGCCAAAGTTCTCTCATGACTGAGTGATGTAGCATGGAGGGATCTTGTGCTTTTCTCAAGACTGATTGACGTGGCATGGAGGACCTTGTGCTTTTCCCATAAGGACCTAAAAGAAATATAAGCACAGCAGGCAAACACTTACCCTTCCATGAAATTTGGTGCTCTGCATCTCATTTGATGGAAATCATGCAAGGTACAGCCCTGATTCAATTTCATGAGCTTCAGAGAGATGCAGCTACCCTGACACTACTCTATCCTATCCCTCTGGTGAGCACATGCATCCATCGGAAGTATACTGAACCTAATCCATCAAGGCTGGATGCCTCTTTTTCAGGCATTAAGACGTCTGAACTTAATACCTGAAGCAAGTTGTCTGAATCTAATCCTAAAGGACAAATACTGTGGTGAAAAATGTCAGGTTTCCTTTTTGCTTATATATTTCTTGAAACTGGGAGTATGAGAAAATTAAAGCCAGATAGACCAAAAACAGTAGGGACACTTATTTCATTGTAACAAAATGGAGAAAGTTGAAAATAGCAAACATTAAACCCACAGTATGGGGTAGCAGCTATTTGGTTTGTGTAAAAATACGCTGTCACTTACAGGTCCAGAAGGTTCTCACTGTTAGCCTTCCTGATGTTTCTCTATGTGGGGCTGAGACCTCCTTCTGCTGCCAAAGATGGGCTGAATAGCAGTCAAGGGGAATGTCTGGATCTTCTTTATGAAGTTGTCCAGGCAAGAAAAGAGGGATTCCTTTCCTACATAATGAAAAAAACAAAGAAGTAAATCTTAGAGTAAACCACCAGAAAACAAGATGTTAAGTCTTCCCCAATCTCTGTGTTAGTGGTCTGCATTTACCATACACCTTTGTCTCAACCTGTGGAATAACTTCCAAGTGCTCTCAGCTGGGGTGTTAATGTACTGCTTTTTCTCCTGCATGGTCTCAGACAGGTCTGCCTGCTTGGAAAAGCCCACCCATATAATCAGCTGGAAAATGAGCAGACAAATAAGAAAGAACAACATGAGGAAACAATGCCATCTGGGTCATATTTCCCAAAGCAAATCTTAGTAAATTCTGGCTAAGTCAATAATAACACACAGACTCAACATCAGATTGGGAACTAGCCCAAGTTTTTAAACTCTTATACAGACTCTTTCATATACATCTTTCTTACAATACAGTTCTGAATAATCTGCTACTTCCTTGTTACTGTTACCATATATGCAAGCTCTCTTTCTACAGTGATTAAAGGTCTTTCCTTATCTAAGAGATACTAAAGCAAGGTCATGAACCCTAGCATCCATTCACCAAGTTCACAAACATATACGCAGTATGGTGTTTAAGATGGTTGTTGATTATTTCTGCAAAGAAATTAAAATAGTCAAGTGCATTTGCTATAAAGAAAACTATAATCTACCCTATAATTAGCTCTTAAGTAGCATGTTTCAACAAATGTGCCTTCAGCAAGATACATTGCCATCAACATAAAACAATTCAAAACACTTGGAGAATAGCATATTGAGAAAGAAAAACAATCAGGAAGGTGGTAGATGAGATAGATACTGAAACAGCAATAACCTAAAGACAGAAATAGATTCAACCCAACAAGGGAAATCAAAGATGTCTGGTGTCTTTATAACAAATGATATATAACAGCAATAGCCAAGGTTTGGACTCACTAGGTCATATATTAAAAATCCATATGGCATGATGATCCACCATGAAAAACACATATAGCTGTGGTTTATTGCTGTGGTTTCTACACCAGCAAGATTTTCATTGACTATGTCTTCCATCATGTTCCCTACAAGAAAGTGTTTCTAACAATCACCTATTAGTCATTATTTTGGCATTATGACACTTGATTAAGAAAGCAGCTCAGTACAGCTGAAGTAATGTAATTTAATAATATGTGCCACTCGTTTGTTTAAGGATAGGTATTTTTGTCTGCCTGTCTACCAGCATGCCTCATACTGGACATTGGAAAATTTGACTGATTGGCCAGTGTCAAGTCCAAACTCAAAGTAGTGTCAGATGTCTTACTGTTCTGGGGCAATGTGTCAGCAAAAACACTGATTAAGTTATAAAGAAGTAATTTTCTTCTACTTTCATGGGTGCTAGTGGGATATGTGTAAGAGGGCTGGACAAGAAAATCCACATTCCCACATCAAGTGAAGGAGCAAGCTGCACTGGTATTTATGAGCGTGTACCTGTCCTTCATACAGAAAGTTCATGGTGCTCTGGGGATGAAACCAAGCAAAGTTTACAGATCAGCAACTTGTCAGCCCCAACCTCCATCTGAAATTAAATGCAGATAAAACAAATAGAATATTTTAAGGAAATGGAAATACCAAGTGCTGGAATTTCCTGGCTATATACAGCTGGATTTATTTCAAGCTCTGTGGACATGGAAAAAAAATATGAGCTCATACTCCACATATGGGAAATGTGATGTCGGTAAGGGAAGAAAACAGAATTATAGTGCCTGTTCTATGGCAACTGCATGATTATCCAGGCTAAAGACGAGAAAATACTCCACACAAGAACAGCTGTCCAGTCACAGCTTGGAGGATGCATGGTCAAAACTATATACCCAACAAGCAATATAGATGCAGCTTTCTGGGAATGCTGCAAGGGAGGGAGAAAATTCAGCCATGTGGAAACAAGCTGTGCTATGACCCTTGCCCTGGCTCTGTGTAGTTTTCTAATATAGGATTATCTGACTTACTGATTCTAGTGTGTAGTGAGGGGTCAGCTTGAATTACAGCAGGGATGAAACGCTAAAACAGGAAAATATCAGGTCCACAGGGTCTGTGACTGCAGCAAGGCGTTGTCAGAGAGAGGATTGTAGCAGCAACTGCTGGAAGTGGTAAGTCTGAAGGGACTAAATTCCTGGTATCTCATATTCAGAACCCAAAATCAGTGGATGTTTTTTGCTTTAACCTCTGTGTGTGTGGTTCCTACATCTGCAAAACAGATGATCGTCTCACAGCGTATGCTTACCATAGCCTCTTAGTTCTGATCTGCAGTGTGGTTTTGAAGCAAATCTCCTAGCCACCTTCACTCATCGTGCCTCAGTTTTCATTCCTGAGCCCTTCTGGGGTATGGAGGATGGATTTCTTCAGGTATGATTAAACTGGAAGTTTTTCTGCAGGTGCCTCCACCTAATGCACTCCAAAGGTACATGGGTGTTCAAAATATGCTGCAGGGATGCAGCAAAACGCCCTCAGTGTGGGCATCAGGACCTTGGCACCCACTCTTCCAAGCAGCAGAAGCTGTTCTGCTGGGTCTTGCCACTTATTAACACAGATTTCTTCAAAAATGATGCTACAAAGTTCTCGGTTGCAGCAGTGCTGAGCAAGAGAGAACTGCCTGGGAGGAAATTAGCCAATTTTCATTCAGAGCAAAGTTTGTACAAAGCAGAGTAAAAGCATCACATGCCAGACATGAGAAGGAAAATAAGTATTGCATAGCTGTTCCTTAAATGGGCAACTTACACTTTCTACGCACTGACCGAAGTGGGTGTCTTGGAGAGAAATCATATACATTCATGTAACTAAAGACTGTCTTGAGGCATACATTGATGAGGTCAAATTAAAGTTGCACAGACCACCTTAATTCTGGCATTTCCTAAGCCTCAAGTGTTTGACTTTACAACCTTAATAATGTTCTTTTAACATAGTTTTTGTATGTGTAATAAACTATATGCCCTTCTCACTTTCAGTGCTCTTCTCAGCAGTAATGCTCCTGGACTCTGGTCCTTCGTTATGAAAACAAATACTGGAAATTATTGCTGTTGTTATTGAAACCAGATGTACTGAGCTCTCTGGCATTTATCCGTATAGTGTCAAACTCTGGCACATCTAATTTCACGGTAATGATAGAGTAAAAATGAGCAATATAACTGATAGTGAAATGTAAGTGCTGGAAAGGCCTTAGAAGATGTGCCTTTTCAGGAAAGTTTATAATTTTCATTTCATATGCAAACTTTTACACAAATGACTGAGCAAAAATGACAAAACCACATATTTGCATCTGTATAGAGTAATAAAAAGTAACAGAGGGTCAAGATGAAAGATTCTGGGCCTGGATCTATGACGCATTAAATGTGCCCTAAAGAATGAGGTCTCTTGTACCTCATAGGGAAAAAAAAGTGGTGCTGTTGGCAAACACAAAATGATAAACATAAAACAGAGACCTCACCCTTGTTTCACTCTACCTCAGATCTCAGACAAAAGTCACCCTGAAGGACAGCGTTTCTCCCCATCTACTGCCAAGGGTGGGCATGTTTCAGCTTTAAAGGTCTAGCTTTTGGACATCAAGTATTAGGTGAGAAATACCCCATCATCCCAAGGAAGATAAGCAAGTTGTTTGACTGTAATAGAAAGTGCTAAGTGGGTGAAGAAAACGTCCAGGGAAAAAGTCCAGTGCATATGTAACAGGACCTAGGATCATGCAGAGACAGAAGTCTTCTCCAGTGTTTCCTCGGATGGAGGTTACCAAAACATAGGGCACAGATTTCTGCAGAAAGCACAGAAGTGATATAGCATAGCTATTGAAATAAGAATGCTCAGCAATGCTGAGTAAGTCAGACTAAATACACTACTTGAATAAATAAAAATGAGATAACCATTAACAAAGCCTTACAGTAATATTACAGCTCCATATTTAAATATTAAAAAAAATAGGAAACCCTAGAACTAAACAGCATACACTGACATCAATTCATTCCTTTTATTAATGCATTTTAGTATGAACTTTGAATGCATGATCACCTTGCAATTTTCCTACAGGATACCTTGATGGACATGATGATCTTAAAGATCTTCTCCAACCTAGCTGATTCTATCACAGTATCACAGTATGTTAGAGATTGGAAGGGACCTCAAAAGATCATCTAGTCCAATCCCCCTGCCAGAGCAGGAACACCTAGATAAGGTTACACAGGAATGTGTCCAGGCGGGTTTTGAATGTCTCCAGAGAAGGAGACTCCACAACCTCCCTGGGCAGCCTGGTCCAGTGTTCCGTCACCCTCACTGAGAAGAAGTTTCTTCTCAAGTTTAAGTGGAACCTCTTGTGTTCCAGTTTGTACCCATTGCCCCTTGTCCCATCATTGTTTGCCACTGAGAAGAGCCTGGCTCCATCCTCGTGACACTCCCCCTTTATATATTTATATACACTAATAAGGTCACCCCTCAATCTCCTCTTCTGCAAACTATAGAGACCCAGCTCCCTCAGTCTTTCCTCATGAGGGAGATGCTCCACTCCCTTAATCATCTTAGTTGCCCTGCGCTGGACTCTCTCCAGCAGGTCCCTGTCCTTCTTAAACTGAGGGGCCCAGAACTGGACACAATATTCTAGATGGAGTCTCACCAGGGCAGAGTAGAGGGGAAGGAGGACCTCTCTCGACCTACTAACCACCCCCCTTCTAATACACCCCAGGATGCCATTGGCCTTCTTGGCCACAAGGGCACAGTGCCAGCTCATGGTCACCCTGTCTTCCACTAGGACCCCCAGGTCCCTCTCCCCTACACTGCTCTCTAACAGGTCGTTCCCCAACCTACACTGGAACCTGGGGTTATGATTCTATGATTCTATGATTCTGAGAATGAATCAGGGCTGTGTTGTTAATTAGGTTTAAAGGGTTAAATCTCTAAAGGTTAGGTCTTTAGTATTAGAGGACTCACAGCTGTAACTGCAGTCAAGGATTGTTTGTCCCCTGGATCATGAAAAGTTAAAGACTCTGTAAATTAGTCC